GAGCTGGTGAACACAGTGGAGCATTTAGAAGCTAAAGAGATAGATATTGGAGTAGACAAAAGAGTTTGGAAAGGAGATTGAATATTGACTTACATTTGCCAGGTGGCTAGAAGAAAATGACTCCAAATGAATTCTAATGTCGCTCCATGTCGCTGAACGCGTAAAGAAGAAATTGTTTGCCACAACAGCTTTATAGGATGATAATATGTCCATGTTGTTTTCAGCTGGTTCCACTGCTGCCAAGTGGCAAAATACATTGCCATATGACTGTGACAAAAAGTAGACAAGACAATGAACTCTTAACTGTGATAGATCACCTACAAGTCTCTGCAAAACTCTGCTTTGAAAGACTGTTGGCAGTGAAGTATTAAAGATTTGTAGAATAATGGGCTAAAACATGCAAAACAGCTTGTGGTCCCTTAAATTGAGAGTCAAGAGTACAATAGAGGGAAAGTTACCATTCAACAGGTTTCTACAACAGCAGCGTTTGCCTTCTCTCTGAAAGTGCTGCCAAAGGTGTTCCATTAGTGCATAAATGAAACACTTAGATACAGGAGCTCATCATAGAGAAATAAATGCTCACCAAAACCTTTCATAAACTAACTACAGTATGTAGCGAGGCTTAAGTCCAAAAGGGCCGCACAGGTGACTCAACAAATGAGCAGGAAACACAGTTTTGTATCAACATCACATTCCATACAAGAAAATATCCACACCAAGTATAGTGAAATGCAGACAACTTTTGATTCGAGGTAATTAGTTCTGATGAAGTGAGCGGCGGGCAGGAGAAGTCTTGCTGTGTTCAAAGGGGTGTCCCTCATCAGGAAACATTAAGTGTTCTTACCAACATGATGCCATTTAATCCCAACACTTGTTGCAGCATTAACACCAAGGGTTACGAGGCAAACACAAACTTTTTCGAGACATCTGCTATGATACGCTCCACACAAACACCCAGAAACAATAAAAGCATTTGAAGCAAACCACAAAACTCCTGTCAGTATTTCAATAAGACCGACAGAGTGGGAGAAAAAAAGAGTTTCACTTTAAGACAAAGCACTGAGCAAAGAGACCGTGAAGGCTGTTGAATCTGAATTAAGCATAGATTGGCCTATATTGCAGCGATCGGGGAACTAGTTCAAGACGTGCCAGGCCTCATGTAGGCTCCGTCACACTGGGGACCTTACTCTCAAACTGTGAAGCATATATACCCTGAGCTATGAAACGCTGGCTGAACATGAGATTACAAAACTGGCAGTGTGCAGCCATTTACCATTATAACACTGGCTTTCAGATAAGGAAGGAACATCAATAAAAGTATAAGTCAAATCTGGAGCTTTAAAATGAATGTTATGGGAAATAATGTGACCAGCGGCTCATACACCTGTCATAAAAGCATACATATGAAAGCCTATTTACGTCACACATAAGGGAGAGTGAGTGTCTATTATTAGCAAGACAGGGAGACATTAAGTTTTCCTTGCCTCTCTTGGGTCAAGTCCCAGTTCCCCCTCTGGACTCCCATATTCAAGTTAGGCAAGTGGCCTGCCTTCCCCAGGGGCAAAAAGCAGCACAGTGTGGTGGAGAAGAATATATGTGCATAACCTGAAATGAGCTCTCCAAAACAGCCACACAGTAGATCCCTTCCTCCTCTTACAAGGCTGGTTACACTGCATGTGAGTGAGTGAGTGAATAACTTTCACTTTCAGGAATATCACACATAACTCAAAATCAGAAGGGCAGCTAAAGTCCTGTTTCTGACTCAACCACTTGGTTTGCTCCCAAATGGCACACATTGACCCACTCATTAACCGGTAAACCTGCAGCTTGACAAGCAGCCCCTGGATGACAGTAATTGTTGCAATCGCAGACGGAGAGCAATTAATGAAGGGGTCAGAAGTTTCCAGAGGGGTGTCTGCCTGAATCAAAAAGCTCCCGCATGGATCTGACTGTAACCCCTAACCTAGGGAGCCTGGGTCGAGCCGGGTAAAAAAAAAAAAAAGGACTTTATTTCCACTACCAAGAAAATGTTGCGCAATTTCATTCTTTAAAGCACTACCTCTTCCATTCCTACTCTTCAGCAGGTTTCTTTCAGTGCATTAATTGTGTCATTTCTAAGTAGATTGTAAGAAAATTTAGCATTACAGTGACATTGTGTGCGTAATGTGTGCATCGGCTTCAAATCCACAACTACAGAGAGAAACCGCCCTTCCAGAAAGTTTATATTCAATGCTCCAACACAATCTGTGATATGAGCGCGTTGTGGGATTTTTCGTTTTAGTAACAGGCCTCAGACGACTATGCAGCTCCGCAAGCGGCATCAAATTAATTAACAATGACTTACAATACAAAGCACTTTGAACTGAGTGTGTGCTGCGAACAGAGCCAGATTGACGGGAAACTTTGACCCCGCAGCCCTCCCTACAACAGTTGCTTATGACTTGCATGAGAGGCTGAAGGCGAATTCCCTCTGTCACACAGCCAGCCACACAAACTGCTGAATGCCAGAACTGGACCTATATGATGAGATATGTTGGCGACATAATGTGATAAGAATTCACAAAATACCACTAACTTGAGTAAACAGACACACCTGAGCCCACAACAGAAGCTGTTCATTTGAAATAGTTAGGTGTTGCTGTATAGGTTTTTTGTATGCAGGTTTATAATTCAGGCTATTATTCAACAAGTGTCAGAATACTATTAGAGCTAAATGATTTGGACAAAACTGATATGATGACAACCGCAAGTAAATACTTGATATTAATATACTGTATACTGCTAACATGTACAAATGAATGCTACAGATAAACCCTTTGATTGCATGACACACCCCACATTTAAAGTGGATGAGTGACAACATGAACTCTATTTTAGACATGTAACACGTGTCTAAATTACAGTTCACTTCATCCTGTGCCAACTGAAACAAATATCAATGCACTAGGGCTCCAGTGACGGGCTCTGGGCGGTAGGAGCACACCGAACCAAAACAACAACCTGTAGGCAAACTGAGGAGTGTCCCCAAAGAACACTGATATTGTGAATGAACTTCATCACATAGCTGTGTGGTATTCATGTATTTATGTATTTTCAAATATCATTCCATACTGCACTGCTGGCTTCACTCTGTTTAATAATTGATTTAGTATAAGATAAGCATTATTCATTTAGACAACCCAACCATGCATCATGGCAGCTCCTTCAAGGATAATAAAGTTAAACTTCAATATTGATATTTTAATGCAGTATTACTTCTTTTCAAAAAATGATACTAAAGTCAGAATAGGTGTTCTGTGGTCAAAACAAATGACAGACACTGAATCAGCTTATTGAAAGTCTCTGTGAGAGCTAAAACTGCAGTGGATGTGCCAGTGAAGTCAATATGAATATTGTATTCTGGGACTTTTGACTTTCGTTGCTGGAGGTCTTGTAATCTATTCTTTTTGCACTTACGCACAGACTCACAGGTCAAGAAAAGAACATCTAAGCTATCAGCTGTACACAGTCCACTCTGGTGTAACAAGTAAGATGAGAGATACTGTGAGGGTCATATTCAGTAGCAATGTTAATGTAATAATGTGGCAGAGCACGGCACAGTGCTGTACTGTAACACTCATTTACTGTGGAACTCTGAAAAATGATCAACCGGGTCAGGGGAATTGATGTTTTTTTTGCCGCTAGTGCATGGCTGTAAATAGTCAACTGTGATGAAAACAAACAAACCGCCCCCAACTAGTATATTATGTAATGCTAATTTGGCATGGAGAGCTACACCTAATTTCTGGTAATGGAGCTCAATGATTTGTTCTGTGTTTCCTACCAATTAATCCTCTTAAAGGGAAGTGAATACTCTAATGAGCACGCAATGCATTAATCACGCTTTTTAAAAAAAATTTTTTTTGAAG